TAGGGTTTAGGGTTATAGGGGGATATATAGAGATATATGGGGGCTATAGAAGGGTCCAAGGACACTGATATTTCGAAGCTAAGAGCTTACGACCCCAACTGCTTGATGCGTTGGGCGTATCTTGGTTCTCAACAGCCTCTCGAGATGTATCTGTCCGAAGCTTTTGCTAGGCCCTAGACCCTGTACCTTAGACACTCTACTAGTTCAAGTCGTTTTTCCTAGCTTGGAAGGTGTGTGGCCCCGAGGACACCCTGACCTTCAAGGCGGACACGTTTTGTGTGGAAGTACTTCACTTGCGGGTGGGAGAGTGGGGGGGTGGATCCCAAAAGTGTCTCTATATAGCCACCTACAGTGGTATGCCATTCGCTTCCCCACTTCCCTTTAGCCGCAGTGAGTTCAGGGCTGGGGAGTTCAGTTCTCAAGCACCCAACTTTTGGCAGTTTCTCAACGTTTCCTCTACCAAATATTTAGTAGGGACGCCAAGAATCACTATACTGAGTGGCCCGGGGCCGTGCAACAGGGCAAACACGCCGAAGCCGGCGAGGTCGCAGCTGGCAACGGAGCTCCAGTCCCGCAAGACCCGTCAGGTCGCCCTGGAAAGACACACCCCAAACCTTCGAGCAAATCACTGCACCCTCCAAATCGTTCTTTTCTGTAGTCTGGCGGGAGGCCCGACAAGTCGTTTAAGGATTCCAGCCAAGGCGAAGAAAACCAGAGGCTTTGTGACAAGCCAAACCCGAACCTTGCACCCTTCTGTTCTGGCGAACACTACAGGCCTGGAGCCAGACCCCGCGCAGACCTTGCACCCCGCCCAGTCTCGACAGGTGCAACAGACAAACAAGAAGACATGAGTTATAGTCTAAACTCCTTCAGGGGGGTTGTATAGGGGATTATGTAGGTGAGTACTATAGAGCTTATTAAGGGGGATACTAGGAGTTTAGACCATGGCTCACCTGAGCGCAATCAGAGTTCAAAAGAACCACAAACCCGCAGAGGTTCAGGCGAAGTGGAGCGCCAGCCGGGGTGGGATCATACGGTTCAGGGTGGGCGCCTGGGTGCTTTCAGCACCAGGGCATCCCCTCACTGAGATACCCTCAACCCTCAACCCTAAACCCTATGTGATCCTGTATCTTTAGGGATCTGAAGCGTACCTCCGTGCCCTCATTCCGAGAGGCAACCAAGTTGCAGGATGCAAACATTGCAGTCTAGGGTTTAGGGTTGAGGGTTGTGGCGCTGAGTTTCATACGGATATGTCAGGTTTGGTAGAGCTTGTGTAGGATCTGCTAGCTTGGATGTTGATGGTCTGCGTGTTGAGAGGTTCGTATCTTCAGGGTTTATGGGCCGAGAGTGAGGGCCTTGGACAATTACCCAAATGAGTCTGAAGTTTGGAATCTGGGACCAGAACATTGGTACTTGTCTCTAGCATCCCCTTATATACACCCAGTTTACATTTCATGTTGCATCTTCTTTTCCGTTTGCCTTTGGATTCTTCATTATCAAGGTAAATAGCAAGAACCTTTAAACCTAAAGCCTACATACCTAGACCCTAAACCTATAGGGGCATCAATTTGTAATTTTTGGTTTCCATAACCCTTACAAAAACCAGGAGTTATAGTTTAGAAGCCCTGAAACCCTATGAACGAGTATAGAATACTTATAATCCGGCTTCTGCATCACAGTCAGTGATTCAGAGCTTCCGCCCCGATCCCCTCAAGTGAGCTGAGACATGGACCATAGTCTCCACATGAGTCGCCGCATATTCTTGAGATGCTCCATTGGCCTTTGGGTTTCGTTTTGTAAACAACCTAAACCCTGAGCCCAAACCCTAAACCCTAAGCCCCAGACCCCTAAGCCCGAACACCCTAAACCCCTAAGCCCTAAAATCCTAAACCCCTGAACCCTAAACACCGTAAGGCCCTGAACCCTAAAGCCCTAAACTCCTAAACCCGCGCAATTTTGTCATGTAGGGTGGCTGGAGAGGTTTGGTCAAACCCTAGACTAGAGGCCAGTTGATGGACAACATTCTGCATTTAGGGTTTCTAGGGTTTAGTGAGAAACCCTATGCTAAAGCACAGCACTGCCCGGCCTTGACGGCGCAGTCGGCAAACTTTTCTCGGTCGAAAGCCAAATGCCTTCCGGTGAGCTCCTTGCACGAGGGCTCTAAACTAGGTTGGGGGACCAGCTTCGGTAATGAGAAACTCATACACAGGAGGAATGACGCCACTGTCATCTTTATGCTTCACACTGGTCCCCCGTTCTCTAGCCAACTTCCAGTTGACTGGAGCATCTTCGCTCAAATCTATGGGAACGAAGAGCTTCCCTCGGAAAAACTGCCACCACCTTCCGGGGTCTTGAGGCTTGGTCAACACATCTGCAAGTTGGAAAGCGCTCGCAAGCCAGCCCAGCGGGACTTTACTTCCCCACTGTTCGGCCTTCAGCACTTGCCTAAGGGCAGCAAGATTTACAGCAAGTCTACGATCTGAAGGCACTCTAGGGACCCCTTGCTTGTGCACGTGGTCGTACAGCGACCGGCAGTCACTCAGGCAAAGGAGAGGTACTCGGCTGTCCTCCACCTTGACGAGGTTCCCGGCAACCAAGGTCTCGAACATGGCACGAACATGTTGCCCTGCCTCGACTCCTTCGACGCATGCTTGCGTCTCCGCCGAGAACGTGCTCCTGCACACCCTCTGTCCCGCCTTGGATTTCCAATCCAAGACGCTGAAATTGCCACCCTTGCCGGTGACACTCCCTTTGTCTGCGAAGACGATCAGCTCGCCAAGCTGCGATGCCACCTTCGAGTTCTGTCTCCTCGCCTTTCTCGCACGCCTGTCCACGAAAGGTCCTTCGTGTTGGAGTCCCGCCAACTTGTCCTCCTCGGTGAGTTCGAAGCCCTCTTCATCGTGCTCCGCATCTCGGGCATTAGCCCAGCCAGCGTCGTGGTACACGATGACGACAAGTTGGTCAAACGGGATCGGCTTAAAGCGGAGCCCCTCCTCGCGGTAGTCGAAAGCTTTCTTTGACACCAAGTTGGTGAACTTGAGGTCGGCAACAGTGGGCTGCTTCTGAACCTGCTGGGCCATGCTGACCGAACAAGTAAGGTCAGGCCGGGACTGCGCAGAAAGCCATGAGAGCGCTCCCACCAGGCTGCGATTATCTGCCACGAGATCAGGTCCAGCGATGTCATCGTCGTCTGCGAGGGATGTCCAAGGAGAACAGCCGACTCTCGGCATAGGCTTGCTGGGAGAGCGCAACCTCGTCGTCCCCATAGTAGATCTCCGACCCGAGGTAGTTGAAGAGCTCGCTCTCCCATTCTCCTATGGGGAACGCTTGGCCCAAAGCATCCTCGATGAGCTTGGAGATCGATGTGCTGGCGATGACCAAGAGGTCGTCGACGTGGGTGCCTATGTACCCTTTTGGCTTGCCAACGAGCTTCTCGTCGCGATACTCCTTAAGGACAAAGATGCAGGGGTCGAGCGGGCACTGCTCGAAGCGGTGGCATCGGCCATCTACTTCGATGTTGACTTTGCTGATTCCTTTCTGGAGGTCAAGCCACCACTCACGGGGACTTGTTGCCAAGCCGAAGATATTTTTCTTCACCCGGACCAATTGCCCAGGCTTCATGCCTGGGAAGCCAGTCGGAGGCTGATGTATGAACAACTCCTGCTCCCTGCTGAGATAAATGCCTGTCAAGAAGGCGCATTGGATATCGCCTGCGGACACCCTCCATGGATCAGATTCTCGAAGCCCACTAGCCAGCACTTGCAGCAAGCAAAGAAGTCCGGGTCTCGACAGAGTCGGTGCATCCGTAGCCAGGCGACCCGAAGCAAGATCCGGATCGGTATGCCCCGCTCTAACGAGGCGTGACTTACAGCGCCGCTCAGCTTCCCCTTGCAACCGCCTCCTGGACCAATTTTTGTCCTTGTACGCCCATCTAGAGCGTAACACTCGGTCTCCGGGGACGTTCTTCTGACGTACTCCGTGGCGGCATCGTCCAGGGGCTCCAAAGCATCAAATTGGAGATGCTCCTCCCATTGCTTGCCCTCAGCCTCGCGAAATTTCTGCTGGAGCTGAACCGGTATCTCATCCCATCTCAGCTCCTTCTCTTGCCTCTTCTCCAGCCCTCGCTTGGTGAGGTGTCGCCTCATCAACATGACGCTGTAGGAGAGAAAGTTGTCCGGCCCCTTCCACTCGACATCGCCCGGTGGCGTTTTCCTTTTCATCCTCGCGGTGGGCCAGCCTCTCTTAAGTCTCATCGGCGTTCTTGTCGAGGACGGCCTCGTGCTTCTCCTCGGGGTCGCCGTCCTCCGGGTCGAAGATGACGTCGCCCTCCTCGTCGTGGTTGTCGCGGTCGATCGCGCCTCTTTTGGCGGCATGGTCCCTGCCCATGTCCTCGTCTTCGCCGGGGTTCTCCGAGGGGGCGTAGAGGGTGCCGATATCGTCCAAGCCTCCGACCTCATCCTCCTCCTCGCTAGTGTGGCCGTCCTTCTCGTCGAAGTCGTTGTTGAGGAGCTGCTCCAGCTCCCTCTTCACATTGCTCATCGCGAGAAATTCCCCCGTTTCGTCGGGTCCCGACGGTCTGAGGTGTTCTGGCGCAGTCAGCCTGCAGCGCCCTGCACGGGACACCCAGTAGTTATTCCCTTCTTTGCCCACGATGACGCCTGGACCCTCCCAGCGTCCCTGCCTCCTATTTTTTGGCATGTTCCAATAACAATAATGCACGGCTCGCCGTTCTCGAAAGGGCGGGTCACAGCTCGAGCTCGCTGAAGCAGGGCTTTCCGGAGTTTGCCGTCATTTTCTGATCTGTGAAAAGCGATGCGGGCGCTGGCTCTGATTGCTGCTTGTCTCTGGAACCGGGCGTCATCGGAGACGTCGTAGCTGACTCTTCCCCCACTGTCCGGATCAAGGACATCCTCTATGGCGCGGCCTTCACGACCAAATATCCACGCAGAGGGGGAGTGGCCGCAGCGCCTCCTCAAGCAATTCTTTGCACTGCTTACAGCTGTTGCTGCCAACTGCACTTCGTCGGCCGTGACCGAAAGCTCACGGCACACACGGGTCCATATATGTTTCCACCACTTACCCTGTCTTTCCCCCGCCCCCGATTGGAAGTGAGCTTGGGTCGCAGAGTTGCGGATTTTCACGTTATGCCAACTGCATAACCTCGAAAAGCCGTCCTGTAAGCCTGTCTCGAGGTCAAGGGAGACGGCGTTGGGGGCGCCGAAAGGCGTCACCCAGTGGGTGTTGAAAGCCTGCTCAACCTCTTTGCCACTGGTGTTGCGAAGCTTGATCACGAGGTGGTACGTCGTGCCCACATCAACAAGTGAAAGGAAGACGTGGCGCTTGTCGTTGCAGTCGTGGGCGTACAGGATGTCCGCTGCTACCACCTCGCCAAAGCTGAGCATTCTGGGCAAAGATGAAGGACGGGCCACCTGTGGATCACGGGTCGAATCGCATACTTGGCACTTCATCCCCTTTGCGGCTTTCAACACGAGTCGAAGGTGCCGTACTAAGTCGGGGACTCTCGGGTGTCCCAGGTTCTGGTGCAGCTTCCTTAAGGCCGATTGTACATGTCCGGGGACTCCTTGCTCGAAGGTAATCCCTGAGCCGTCGATGCGAAAGGGCTTGTTCTCTTTCTTGTCCTCGTCGCCATTGACAACCAGAACATGGTGCGGGTCTAGGCATCCAGGTATCTCGAGGTGCTTGCATCCAGCTCGGGCAAGGACCGTCCATTCCTGGTCCTCGTAGTTGTTGCTGTAGCGGAGGTATAGGTCGAAGTCGTCGAAGATCTCTCGGGGGCGCCCTCCTTGCAGGACAACTGCTCCACCTCCTTCCAACTGCTCTTGCACCAAGATCTTAAGGTCATCTCGAACTTCTCTAGGTACACTTTCCAGGTGGAGGTGGAGATGTCGTGGTGTCACTGCTTTCACCAAATGGAGCGCCCTGTCCTTCGTGCCCGGGTCGAGTTAGTCGTCCCACGACAAAGGCTCCAGTCCAGCCTTGTTGAGCTCGGTTGCCTCCAAAGTGGCGTCGAACCCGCCGAGCTCCATGACTGCGATGGGGTTGTAGATCACCTCGCTCTTTATGGCCTCGCAGAGGAAGGAGTTGGCGGTGGCGAGGATCGTTGCAAAGAGGACGCTGAGCTTCCCCACGGTGTTGGCGATGGAGCTCCGCTGCTTCTTGGTGGGTCGGGTGCTTCCCTCGACCTTGCCCTTCTTACTTCCCTTCGTGGGTGGGAAGCTACAGTTCCGCAGGAACTTTTCGGTGTCGCCGCCGATCTTGCTCGCGCCTCTCGGTGTGTAGGCGACCACGTGCCACGCGTCCCCATTGGTCTCCGCCACGTGGTGCTTGATGTGGGGGTCGAACTCGATGAACTTCTCCTTGGAGTCGGTGAGCCTTCCGGGTAACCACTCGTTAGCTCCGGTCCTTTTCCATTGGATGTCGCCATTCTCATCGGCGGCGATGTCGTCCTTGTTGATGTGGGCATCGTGCAACCACAGCTCTCCTCCTGAGTCCTGTCCAAAGGACGCAAAGTAGTTGCGGGAGCCGACCTCGTTGTGGTAGTCGTGGTGCACTCTCACGGTCCCGCCCTTGAAGACGCTGATGGCTTTCCAGGTGGCGTCTTCCGTGGTGTGCGCCACGATGAAGTGGTTGAGGTATCGGGCTAAGGCGCTGTGGTTGACCACCGCTTTGGTGATGCCGCTCATCCCGCCGTGGGTGTAGTACCCAAAGGTGAGGCTGTTCTTGGCTCCATCGACAATCCTGCCTCGATTGTCGCCTCCTTTGACCACGGTGCCGAAAGCTTCGTCAAGAAGTTCTTGGCAGGTGCTGAAGGAGAAGTCGCCGGAGTCGTAGGCGAAGTCGACGTGGTCCTCAAAGGAGAACTCCTTGCGCTCGTACACTTCCAAGCCCTCGCCTTCATCGGGAATGTCGTGGAAGATGTCGTGGTCTCCATCGACGTCGAATTGTCCGGACTCGCCCGGGTCAAATTCAATCATGCAAACTTCGTGCCTATTGTGGTACGCAGTCACAAACTCCTGCTCGGAAAAGAAGCAGTCATGGGAAAGCTCCGGGCAGCACTTACGGCCGCCAACCTTGCCATCCAACGGCTGATCTCTGCAAAGCTGGGGTGAAGCGAGGACATCCTTGTTGTCGGGCCCCCCACCGCTGTCCTCGTTCCGGTCGGGGTCGTGTTCTGATCTCACTGGTCGCTTCCGGAGGCTGGCCTTGTCCTTGAGGATCGCCAACTTCGTCTCGAGCTCTGCTATCTCCGCCGCGACCTTCGGATCCATCTCGTCCTCCATCTTCTTGGTCTCCTCGATGTCCTTTCGGGTCCTGCGTCGTCCTCCTCCCGCTGACGACGTGCTGGCCTTGTCGCTCAGGAGGCTCCGGGACTCCCTCGTCGTCGAAGTGGTCAGCGGGCTGCTCGATCTCCTCGTGGCCGCCGTAGAGCTCGGGTAGGGCGGCGCGATCTCCTCGGCCGCATAGCGCTTGTTGTTCTCGTACTTGCGGCTGAACCACTTCCCGTATCTCACAAGCTCCGGATCCGGGCTGTCGGCGTGGGCCAGCTGTCTGACAACCCACTCTCCGTAGCTTCTCGGGATTTCGCAGAATTGATACCCGATCTTCATGAATTCTTGTCGTGAGTGTTGATTGAGTCCCGTATCAGGCGCAAGAGATTGCCCTTTGCAGTCGCATTCGTGTAGTCGATCTTCAACTCGCTCGCCTTCGCACGCAGCTCTGCGAGATTCATGTGCGACACTCTCTTCATCTGCTCGGTGGGGTCCTTGGCCTTCTCGGTCTCCCTGGCTTCCATAATGCAGGCTTTGATCTCTGTGACTCCCCAAGTATGGTGGACGATCACCCCCTTGCATGGCGCCTGTTCCATGATCACTGCGCAGGTGGAGGGGACAACTAGGGGCTTGGCGCTTTGCTATCCAAGTTCTTCCGACTCAATGGAAGTCGAACACGGGCTCACTGATTTTGTCATGCTCCCACCTATCAACAACCGTTTCGATCCACCTACCGGAAGTGCAACGCACGCCATCTGTGACCCTGATCTCTGCTGCAGTCTGAACAAGCATCTCCTTCTGGATAGTAGCCCTTGTCTTCCATGTCGCTGGATTGAAAAGTGCTTTGCGGGGTGTAACGTGGATTCTTACCCAAGCATGGTCACATTCTAGCCAGAAATCCGAAGTAGTAGGACTGCTGCTCCACCATGCTATAAACTCTTCCTGGGGCAACTTTTCTCGAACAAGCATCTCCTTGACACCGGGCTCTAGCTTCTTGTCATAGAAGAAGTTAAATAGCTCATGACTTCTACCATGTCCATGACTGTGCGCAACTGCAAACGCCATGTATTCACTCTTGGGCACAAGCTTCAGGTCCTCGGCTAGGAAAGCGCCGGGGTCGCCGTCCATTTTGGTTGCGACGATCGGAATTGCCGGGTGCCCGGACGAAGTGACAAGAAGGTCGAACCCTTTGAGTCCCACCTTATTAAAGTCAGCCTGCCCCTTCTCGATGTCGAAGACCATGCCGAGCTTGGCCAACACCGTTTTGGAGAGGAGCAAGGGAACATCGCCGTTGATGATGGAGGTCCTGACCTGCGCAATCTTGCTCCCCAACTCAAAGGCCAGGACGACGTAGAAGGAGGAGTAATAGAGCTTCCCAGTGCCGAACCGGTACGCCTCGCATTCTTTCCTCAGCTCTGGCTTCACACCCATGGAGGCAAGCCTGTCCGAGTAAGCCTGCAGCCATTGGGTCCCTGCCACTGTCCGGGCACACGCTGTATCCGTGATCCCGAGGAGGCCCGCATTCTCAATCTTGATGGAGAAGACCTCGGCAGGCAGGAGGTTGCAGAACCCGATGTCGGCCGCTTTCCCGGCTGCTTTGTCACCATTCTTCTGGTAGCCTGGCTGGTTATGGGGGCACTCTGCGTCCTTGTGCCAGTGCCCTCGCCTCCCGCATCCAGAGCAAAACGACTTGGCCTTCATGAGCTTTATCTTTTCGCTTGTCCTTTCACCGCCTTTCCCGCCTTGGTTGCCATCACCCTTGTTCTCGCCGATGTTGCCGTTGAAACCACGACTTCTTTGGTGCTCCTTGTACTTCTGCTTCGCGGTCTGGTACGTTGCGTAAGCCACGGCGACTTCTTCTGGCACTCCAGCGTCTCCCTCATCGAAGTCGGGGTCTTCCTCGCCAGATTCCAAGGAGTCGTCGGCTTCGGTGAAGTGTGCCGTGTACGGCTTCCTGCCCTTTCCAGAAGTTCCGGACTCCCAAGGTTTGCGATGTCCGCGATCATGGATGACGGCCGCCTGCTGTAGACGAGGAAGGGAATAAGCGTTCCCGACACTAGCCAACAAGTTGAGCTCTGCCGCTTCCTCCAGCTGGAGCCTGTCCACATATAGCCAAGCTGCACAATCCTCCGGCAAGTTGCACCCGACCTCACGTAGCCTGGCGTGAAGTCGGTCGTATTCGCTGTTGTAGTCGCGGATACTCTGCCCAGGTTTACGCCTGAGCCGGCGGAAGAACTCTGAGAAGGCCTTCCCGATCCTGGTCACCTCCAAGTCCAAGTACCTGTTCGTGATCCACTTCACAAGGTACTCAACGCCTGTGTCCTTGGCCAGGTTGTCGACACTGAGCTCTTCGGCCGCCACCCAAGCCTTCCCGGTGAGGTGCTGGTAAAGCACAAGTCCTTGCTGGTGTTCTGGAAGAAGGGTCATCCGCTTCCAGGCTTCAACCTGTCTCAGGTATGACCTGGCGGAGGTGCCAACGTCCTCGGAGTCCTCTCCGGAAAAGCTGGGGACAGTGAGCTTCTCGGAGGGACGCCCACTGCCAGTCTTTCGGCTCTCGTCACTGCCCACGGAGCCATGGTCGCTCCAGTCGCCATTCGAGAAGTGCTTCCATCCATTCCATACCACCGCCTTTTCTCGAAGTCGGTCTGGATGATCGCGCTCTCGTAGACGGTCAGCTCGACCACCTGCCTCCGGACCTCGATGCCGGTCAAGCTGATCGCGCTCTCGAAGACGTTCAGCTCGACCATCCGCCTCCGGAGCTCGTTCGGGACCACGACGTTCTCCGCACCGCTGAGGTTCTCGCCAGCCGCCGCGCCAGCCAGCTTGCTTCTTCTGCCACGCCGCCGCCCAGGGATCATGTCTCCAGGTTCCATCATCATCATCGCCGTAGTCTTCGTCATCTTGGGTCTCATCACGATCATCCCAGGTCCATTGCCAACCTGAGCGCCAGCCACTCCAGCCATCTCGCCGCCATTGGTTCTCCCAATGGCCATCTTCTTCCCAACGATGGTCCCAGTCGCCCCACGAAGCTGAGCTATCCCATCTCCCCGATGTAGAGTTTGAGAAACCTCTCTTCTGACCTCTACTATCATCTTCTCCCCGATCTTGACTGCTGCTAGCGGAATCTTGACTACTTTCTTCTGCTGCGCCATTGACGGGCGCTGTCACTTCTTCAGGATCTCCGGTAAGCACGCTACCATCTCCACCGTCATGACTTGCCATGGCACTACAAGGCTACAACTACTCGAAAGTGCCTACCGGTAGCTCCGCTACCAATGAGAAACCCTATGCCAAAGCACAGCACTGCCCGGCCTTGACGGCGCAGTCGGCAAACTTTTCTCGGTCGAAAGCCAAATGCCTTCCGGTGAGCTCCTTGCACGAGGGCTCTAAACTAGGTTGGGGACCAGCTTCGGTAATGAGAAACTCATACACAGGAGGAATGACGCCACTGTCATCTTTATGCTTCACATTTAGGGTTCAGGCTTTAGGGTTCAGGCTTTATGGGTTTAGGGTTTCAGGGTTTAGTGCTTAGTTGATGGACAACATTCTGTTAGGACGTCCTTAAGGGGGGTGGTCCAAGGGGGGTAGGTAACCTAGTAATCCCCATCACTCCCTATGATTCTGCATGAACTTGCATGAGCTAAACCCTTGGGGTTTAGTGTTTAGAGTTTAGGGTCTAGGGTTTTAGAGTTTAGGGTTTAGGGTGTTCAACATATTTGTATATACATATGCGCTATAGTCTAAACGTCTCGAAGGGGGTTATATAGGGGACGACTACAGTGGTTATAAAGGGGGGAATCTAGGAGTTTAGACTATATATAGCTCACATCATGGAAGTGCAGCTTAGGGTCTAGGGTTGAGGGTCAAGGGCTTCATGGTGTACTTCAGGTCTTGCGGCCTTTTTGTCCAGCAAGTGTATGACATCCTATAGCCTAGAGTCCATCGCGGCATATTGAGGTTTGTCCGCATTCATTTTTATACAATCCCAAGTAGGGACCCTCCAAAATGCTGTAATCCCTCTATCTCCTTGGGATCATCCAGGCCAGCCCTAAAAACCCTAAACCCGAAACCCTAAACCCTAAACCCTTATCTTGTAGGTTCGGCTTGGGGTCTGTAAGGCCCTAAACCCTACGCGTTTTAGGGTTTACGGCTGAACACTTAGGACTTGAAACCCTAAAGCCTGAACCGTTTGGGTTCTAGGAATTATAGGGGCCCAGTTGTCAGTGTCTAAGACCCAGGAACAGAAAGACATCCTCAAGTAGAAGAAGGAAAGCTTTCAGTTGTAGCGGTCGGTTTAAGGTTTAGAGTTCATTCCCCCATAGCCCTTTCAGAGCAATAGTACAATATGCACTAAAACTTTCCCATTCTGATTGATCATGCCCCTACATTAGCCTTGCAGGTCTCATTCGGCCAGTGACTTCCGAGGTCAGTTTCACTCCGTGTTTCGTGATCCGCAGATATCAGGTGAATAGTATTTTATTTTGGGATACTATGGTACCCAATATAGGGTAAGATTATATCCTCCTTTTGGGGCATAGTATTTTATACAAGGATTATAATCCCTAAACCCTAAACCCCAAACCCTAAACCTTAAACCCTTAAGCCCTAAACCCTAAACCCTAAACCCCAAGGAATATAATCTTACTAGGTTCAACCACCCAAAAAAAAACGCTACTCAGGTGTTAAGCCCCTAGGAGTGTCTGTATCGATGTGTAGGGTTGTCAAATTTACATACCAGGACCCTAAAACCGGTTTAGGGTTTTGGGTTTACGGTTCGGGGTTTAGGGTTTAGGGTTTTGGGTTCAGGGTTTGGGGTTTAGGGTGTAGGGTTTAGGGCTTACCCTAAACTCTAAACCATTAACTACAATAAGGCTTTTCATCTTGTCAGTGTGCGTCTCAAGGGTTTAAGGTGTAGGGTTCAAAGGCCCAAGCTCTCGATTCCGAAGACGTAGGAAGTGTCGGGGACATAAGACAGGATCTCTCCAAGTCAACGCGTACGGCACAACAGCTGCTAACCCTAAACCCTAAACTACCGTTTTTGGAAGTACTTTTCCCGCGCAGGGACCGATTTTTTTCAGTTTGGTCGGATCTGATGAACTTAAGCTCCCCAGGACCCCTAAGCCCTAAAGGGTTTAGGGTTTAGAGCCACAACTAAAGCTCCAGAATCCTAATCCTGAGGCCCTAAACGCTAAACCCTCAAATCCCTCAATTGCAGGACCTTTTTGAAAGCTGAGGCTGTGTAGAGTAAGGAGTGGGGTTCCCCCAGAAGGGACGGGGGTGCCTTAAACCCTGAACCGTAAACCCTAAGCCCTAAACCCTAAACCCTAAACCCTAAAACCTGAACCCTAAACCCTAAACCCTAAACCCTAAATGTTAAACTCTAAACGCAGGGGTGGTCGTATCTTTTTGCATTTTTCCTATTTTTTTGGGATCCGAGGCGGATATCTGAGGCCTTCCTTATAAATTACAAGGTTTAGGACTTTTGGGTTTTAGGGTTTTGGGTTTGGGGTTTAGGGGTTAGGGGTTTAGGGGTCAGGGGTTTAGGGTTTTTAAGGTTTTGGGTTTGGGGTTTTAGGGTTTCAGGGTTTAGGGTTTCAGGGTTTAGGGTTTCAGGGTTTAGGGATTAGGGTTTAGGGATTAGGGTTTTAGGGTTTGGGTTCAGGGTTTTATGGTTTGGGTTCAGGGTTTAGGTTTCTAGGGTTTTGGGTTCAGGGTTTTAGGGTTTTGGGTTCGGGGTTCAGGGTTTTGGGGTTTTGGGTTTTAGGTTTTAAGCTCTTTCGACCATTAAGCAGTCATCAAGTCCTTCTGACCCCCCAAGTAGGTAAGATTATACCCGGTCTCTATTAAAGGTGGGGTAGCAGCCACGGTATGGGTGTATATGCCCAATGTAGAAGAAAGCTGCAGTTGCTGTAGCCGAACCTGATTTCCGTCAAGTAGCAAGCAGGAAGAAGGAAAGCCCTAAACCCTACACCCTAAACGCTACATTCTAAACCCTATCGAACACATGATTCCCAGAACTGAAAAGGCTGAAGTCGCCACAACAACACAGGCGGCATTCATTCTACACCGTCTATGCCATGAGACTGTATCATGCGATGGATATTCAACATCCTGTGCGACCCTAAGTACCACGTACCTTGGGAAAACATAGGAAGGTCATGCAATATTTTTTCTTGACAGCAAAACACCCCACTCAGCTTCTTGATGAGATTCCATAGCTCTTATCCAAATTGGCCCCATGCATCCCTGTCTACCCCTTCGCTCCCTTATCCCTAAACCCTTTTGACCAAACCTTCAAACCCTAAAGCTAAAAAAACACAGAACCTAAAACCTTAAATCCTAAATGCTAAGACCCTAACACTCTAAACCCCACAACCCTAAACCCTAAAACCCTAAAGTACATGCTTTGATGCTTTGCGTTGGAGCTCGGCAGACGGGGAAGACTCGTGCAAAAAGACGTCTTTCCTGAGTTGCTCAAGGATTATGGGGTTGAGGGTTCAGGGTGGGGTGCTGTTTCGACAGTAAACTAAACTAAGGGAGCCTATCATTTGGTCATATGTGAGGGCCGTCTATCACGGATGCACATGTTTTGTATAGGAGTGCTATCGGCGTTAGGCTGAAGTTACGATAGCCTGGAATACGCCCTAAACATTGAACCCCAAAACCCTAAACCCTAAACCCTAAACCAACCCCAAAACCCTAAACTCTACAGAAGAGGTGGCTGTGGGCCAAACCTGCCAGTCGGCAGGTGTACCCGCTCTCGCCGCAAATCTCGCCGGGAGCAATGGAAGATGACATGCGCGCATGCTGAATGAAGGAGTATTTCCTAAATCACAGTCAGGATCTTAGTATCATTTACAGTATATCCCGTAATTGCATTACATTGGGCTTAAGCTTTAGAGCCTAATCCCTGCAGCAGGCAGGGGTCCCCAATAAAAGATTAAATGGAAAAGACACGGGAAAATGGAAAATGAAATGGAAATCCGAGGTGCTTCTAGAAAGGGCTAGAGCACTTGGACTATATGTGATATGACTATTGACGATAACTCATATCCTGGATCTTAAAGCCCTGGTCGCATTGCCAGCAGCTGTTGCGCCACTCTTGCTGGCCCAAGACAGGGAACGTGCCCGCGCATCCCACCCCGCCTTAGGCAAACCCATTCAACGAAGTTCCTTGCTTTGGCCTCAGTTCAAGGGAGGGGGATATTGGATTTACTGTGGAGCATCTGATGTCTAGGGGCTAGGGCTTGCCGTTCTTGGGTCAAATCAGCCTTCGGGGATTTGAAGCTTGGTGACAAGGTTTAGGGCTGAAGGCAAACCGTCAACGTCTATACTGAACAGCCGGCATCTCGAATTCAGGTTGCTGTTTCGGGGTTGCGCCTACTCATTGCTTCGTTTAACCCCAAACCAAAAGCCCAAGCCCTGAGCTTTATGTCCTAAACCCGAAGCCATACACTTCAAACCGTACCCCACATTTTTTGTTGAGCACGGTCTGTATTTTGGTCACAAGGGTTTTTGGCATGCATGGGGCTGACGGCCGTGCATAATTCGAACAGACATAGGAGTGTGGATTTGGGGCGCTACACTCTCGCGTAGGGTTTTGGAGTACATTATGTATGTTGACTAGATGAAGGTTGCAAGCCAGCACCAGAGTTCGCACGGTGCTTTGGCTTTTTCTAGTTTGCTCATGAGGAAGGTTGTGCATAACATACTTGCAAAAACCTATTCGTAAGGTCCATAGTGAGCACATATTCAGCATTGCAAAGCTGCACACGAAGGTTTCGACATCTGCGCGGGGGCAATTCAGTGCACGTCGCGCTTGAGCTCGTTGCGTTGTCCCAAACGACAGATCCGAAACTTGAAGCCTTAGATCGAGTGCCCTGAACCCAAAAATTTCATGGCCGCGCATGAGCCGAAGTTGATGATCCTGGGTCTCGAAAGCCGCAGCTCCCAATTCCTCAAAGCTTAGACATAGAAGCAAACCCATGCCCCCTGCGATAGGCTTTCTGTGCACCGCTACATCCCCTCTGACACCTTGAACCCTGCATTTCAAACCTTCAACTCAACCACCTTCAAGCAATTGGGGAACAGGTATTCTGAACAACCGCCACATGTCTCCCTAGATCCTATACCCCAAAGCCTGAATCTAGTTTCGTAACTGGCAACCCGTGCGAGCACCCATGCGCCACCTTTTGAGCTTTACTTTTTCTCGACAAGACTTG